CTTACCTCCATGTGATAACTGGTCCTTAAACGGTTAGACAAAAAGGCGTGCAGTGCTACTCTGTCGTAGGTGGTCCTTCTCAGATTCAAGAAGATGACTGTTGATGCCGGAATTCGAGCCAAGTCGCCAAACGAACTCGTGAGATTTGCTTCATGTAGCAGGAAAAACTTTTCTGGAAATCTTTGTCCTTACATCAGGCCAGAAAGCAAATAGACCCACCATGGTTAATAACGTGCATGGGTTATGTTTCCTGACAGATTCCTATGTCATATGTTTCTGCATGGATTTTTGGACCTGTCCATGCAGGATATTCGAAAGCACTGCAATTGTGTTTAAGTGTCTCATCTTCAGCAAAACCCCATTAATTTATTCAGTTACAAAGTGAGAACACAAAAACAAAAGAATGTGAACGGTTCAGGAGCTCAAACAAAAAAAACCCGCAGCACCGTTACGTAGTATCTTTGATCCTTGCTAGCTTTTCTGACTAATCTCCTTTTCTAACTTTAGCAGAACGTTCAAAGCGCAAATATTGTTACCGAGACGTGTTACTCGTGTCCTACTTTTCTCCTAATACACTCGTCAAGGTAAACCTCCGCACCCCCGTCCCTATGACATGGCAGGCATTAGACTAGCTGGCGCTCAGTACTAAACTTGTATAATGCCCTACATCCCAAGGCTAAATTTTTTTGTCTAGTTGAGGCTAATGACCCCGCTCAAACCCCCCACTCCTTAAGAGAAGGTGGTAGACACGAGCTTAACTAAATTCCTTAACTTTATTACATGAAACCCTGGCACATTGGTAACTTTGCTAAATAACACAGCGAGACAAAGAAAAAGGAAACAGACATACATTAAGTCAGTAGGTGGAAAATGATAACGCCCATCCACAGCGTATCTTAGGCGCCGATCACGATCGCTTCAATATCCTCCCCCTCCCCCCGACATGGGCAACCCACGGGCATTTGACCACCGTCCGTGCCCACGGGGTGGGCCATTTGAACCTGAAGTCTCAAGTCTTTCCAATACGCGTGTTTTAGTGGAGGAGTTTAGTTTAAAGGTAAAAACTCTACTTTCAGGAGCAAATGGCCTAGAAAGACAATTTCACATTGAAGATTGATGCTTACGAGCGAAAAACCAACCAGCAACACTACTTTGCTAGATTCTACAACATTTGTTGTTCACACAAAAAAAATGTTTCAATATTGAGAGGGGAGGCAATTTTGACCCAGGAGGGTCGGAATTTGTTGAAGCTTCGAATTGATCAATGCATAACTATGATCATCTTTGTTAAAAAACACAATCTCTTTAAACAATACATGTCAAGTGGTGAATTATTCGTAGAGTTTTTTTTTTTAACCTTCCTTAAATGCTCTATTGTTTGTTTCGAAAACTGCAAAAAAGGTAAGTCACCTTGCTGGCTTAAGAGATACGATGGACCAATCTTACCCCATTTATGCCTGCAGCGGCACTAATCACGGGCGTCATTTCATCGGTTCACGGTACAGATTGTAGTTGCTGAAAACTAGGTTTTTTTAAAGTAAATCTTAAAAAACATACTTAACAGGAAGAGAGCTTCGAGCCTCTAGAACGATGTAATATATAATTTGTGGAAAAATCACGCAATTTTAAACTAAAAGCGTTCCTCGAGTCATTGCTTTCAAGGTGACAGTTTGCATTCTCGAGTAAAAGACTGCGTGAACGCTAATCTTTTTTCCTCCGATATTTTTTTCTTAATTTTCCCAATTTAAAGGAGACAATCTGTTCACCAAAATTATGCAAAAAAACATAGGTCGCCGATTAATTTGAGAGGAAACACTATCCACCTGTTCACCTCGTTCGTTGATTTGAATCTCAGAATGCGCGTGCACTTATTCGCTTGATTACGTGTTATTTATGCGCAGCATAGGATACACAGTGCAATACTAAGGTTCCCAGTGGGAGCAAAATGGTTAAATCTCGGTAGATCCAGTAAAGAGGAAAATCAAAATTTGAACAATCACAGTTTCATATAATGGGTTGAGTGAGGACTTAGATTCATCTTTCTTCGTTCAATCTTCTTTCCACTGAACGGCAGCTACTCCTGGCTAACCTTCAGTTGGCGCTAATCGCAATACCAGTGTCCTTTAGGCTCCCTTGTCTTTCTTGTGATTCCAAAGCAAGAAAAATGGAACCATTCAAATGGACATTGTAACCATAGCAACGAATTTTTCTTCATCTTTTCAATATCATTCCCGTCACCTGATCCTTGATGACATAGATAAGCCCTCAAAGTACCTGATAACGTTAACTGCGGCTCTCCGCCGCCCTTCGACGGAAAATTCCTCACTAATGCCTCTTTATGCCCCGGCCCCGGGGGTGTGGGAGTCTGTGCATTTCAAGCTCAAGGGAAGGAAATGTCACCTAATACGTTTTATAATCCATCCGATCGTTTTGCTCCCGCGTGATTGGTCTAAACGCCGCATGTGACTGAATGTCTCCCAGCTAAAACTAGGTGATATCCGAGAATATCACCGAGGCGATACTCCCCAATTATCAAACCTTACGTTCACTGCGACAAGTCTTCGTTTCAAACTTAATTCAAGATGAAAGAGGGTTTTGTGGTTGTTACAGGAGAAGGGAAATCTCTATTTGTTCATTAAGTCGTACTAGAGAGCACTCAAAAGAAAACATTCCACGCTACATACAGTAAGCTTTTCGCTCACTGTTTACAGTTTTCCCCGAGCTTCGCTCTCGGAAAACTGTTCGCATCTTGGAATAGATAATTTCCGCATCTTGGAATAGATAATGTCCGCAGACAAAAATATCCGCCGAGTAGAGGCTATTGTTTATCTCTCCTTCATATAGTCATATTTTTGTGTGCACTAATAAATCAACAATACCATGACCCCCCTATAGGACCTGACCTATTTCCTGTCAAGTGGCAGTGAGTTCTTACTCGTCCTCATTTGCTCTACGGAAGTCGTTGTCCTTAAATTTGTGGAATCTAAAGAAAGGACCGGATCGTCCTAGATTGCTCATCGGAGGATTTAAACAGTTCACTACTGTTCTTCCTGGCAGCAGCTAAGCCGCTAGGGTGAGTATTAAGGCGAATATACCAGCTTAGACTGTGTCTACAATCGGAACTTCATCGACGCTTACTCGGCTTAACCTTGGGCGAGATCTTGATGGAATGAGGCCTATCTGGCAGTGTACTCAAGGTTTTTATTGTACTGAGTTTAAATTTTCGTGGATTTCGAATAGACTAGGAGTTCAGAGTTACTTTCATACTAGAGAAAGGAAACGTCTTCGAGTACTTCCGTGTGTTCACTTGTAGCGTCCAAGTTCGATGGTTAGGTTGTCATTCAAGAGTTCGAGATTGTGTCATATTCAAATGTAGATTTCATTATCTGGAGGAATTTGATTGACTTGATCAATATAAAGTCTTACGCGTTTCTCTTCATTTTCTGATGTAAATTAATGTTCGCTAGATAATAATATAATAAGCGATCAATTAGTAAATACAACAACTGTACCATGATCTTTGCCCAAAGTAATATTTTATCCTCGCTTTCGAATGTCTTCCCTCGCGTTCCATTCCATACAATGTACATCCCATCTAGTTCAGATACAGCAATCGTGCGCATTTAAACAATTGTGTAATAATTTCATTAACAGTGGAACTCGTTATACCTATGTAATATTTTATTATCTGCAGGTAGAGGCCAGAGGGCCTTCTGACCCACAATGTCGAGTAACTCAAATCGGGTTGGTATCTCTTTGTGGATCAGTGATCTGTTTAAACTAATTTATGCAAGTAGATTTGTTCAAAAAATATTCTTGATGGTTTGTTATTACAAATCAGTGGTGTTAAGTTTATTGTAATTTCTTCTATTATTCTTGAATCTTGGGGGGTATATTAGTTTTCTGTTTCCAATGCAGATTGTATTGCCAGAAGATTTGATTAAAGGCGCTACCGCACTGTTTTTCCTTGAAGGAAAACCTTGACCGAAACTTACTAAGTTCACCATTAGTTAATCCTGTTTTTATCTTCATCCTTAGCAGTTGCTTTTCCATTCAGCTTGTTATAGCCCCTCTTATTTATCAAAATTTTACAATCACCTCAAGGTTTGAGGTAGTTTTGCATGATGCAAGTCTCAGAATATCATTTTGCAGCTGCTTTACAATGGCGGCTTGTTTTTTGGCCATTGTAGCTTTATTGCATGTTTCATCATCATCATTTTCTTCTTTCTTGGTGAGACTTATTTTTCAGGCTCAAGTTTGTTTATTCTTTAATGTTATCCTCTCTCCATTTTTTCTTTTCATCTCTCTTTCTCCCTCTTTGTTTTAGTACCTTGCAGGAATTACATAATAAGTTATAATAACCACAAGATATCCCCATACCATAACAGTTTGTGTCCTTTTTTCATATTTAGACAGTTCTGATGGGACTTAATGGCTGATAAGATGCTGGACTTAATTTTACTGACTCTATAACTTAAAGGGGATATGAAGCCCAATCTTGAACCAGTTTTAAATTGTATCTTATAGCTGAAATAGCTATGTCTTTGGGCTCAACCTCACCTTGAAAAATTGTTTTATACCATGTTTTGACTCAGTAGCATCACTGCTCTGAAAATTGATGGTGGTGGTTAATATTATGCGATTAATATTCAACAGCTGCTAATTGTTTTGAGCTGATGTTTTTACGGCCTTCAAAGCAGGATAAAGGGAACTTAAAATCAAATTTTCTTGTAAATAAGAAGTAGCGAATGAAAATAAATACTGAGACTTATCTTATTCCTCTGAAGCTAACTAGAAATGGATACAAATAAAATGGCAGTTTTAGGCTTCGTTTTTCCTTTAACAATTGGCTGATTTTTGTATTTTCAGGTACCCTGGGCACAGGGAACTGAAGTGGAGGGTAAATACCAGTTTAGAGGACGGACAAGAGAGGTAGGCTTTATGCTCTTGAATACTTGAAACACATTCCATAAGAAATTAGAAAAAAAAAGATAATGTATCATGTGGTACCTAATATACATGTAGTTGTAGGTATAAAAATTATATTTTTAAAGAATTAAAATGTGCTCTCCTTTATTTAGGATCTTCCTTTTGAGAAGGGCGAGATCCTTTGCATTGAAAGTGTTACGCGGGTGAGTATGGGAACATGCATGCTTCCACAGTTATATCAAAAGAACAGAATACATTATTATGAACAACTTTGTACAAACATCCAGTGAAGGATGTTTACCCATGAATTATCAAGACCATCTGTATCATTTATTACTATGAATTCTCTGTCTCTGTAGTGAAAAGTCATTTCTTTTAAAACTTAATTCTATCTAGAAGAGTGTTCTTGCATTCATGTTGTTTGTAGATTATTGTATTCAAAATACTAAATGTGTTGGTTCAACTTGCACTGTTTTAAGAAGCAGCTATTTAAGGTATTTATAACAATATTTACACTTTTGGCTACTTTATGCGAGATGGACATGTTGTGAGAATTCCAGGACAATGGCCTCATCAAAGCTACTGATTGTGTTATGTTCTCAGTTCAGACAATATTGTAATAGTAAAAATGCCACAGAGTAACAAAATTTTAGCTTATTGAAACTTGTCTTTTTGTGCAACGATTTCTGACTGTTGCCAAAATAATGTAATCATTGGCAACCTTTGCCAAGTAAGAAATATCTTTTTTTGCTTTGTTTTTGTAAGTTAGATTGATAAAATCTTTCTATTTTACTTGTTGTATTATGAAATATTATATGGCCTGAGTATGTGATGCCTATTTTTCTAGCATGATTGGTTTTGTGAATTAATAGACATCATTGAAGAAATACCAGTGTTGTGTAAACTTGAGTATAGATACATAATATTTTCTGCCAATTTTTATTTAATTACATGACAAATTATGCATAGAAAAGACTGTGCACAAGCACTGAACAAATAATTAACTGTAGTTTTATAAGGACTAAAGGTTGATTTAAGTTTTACTGACTTTTTATTTTTAGGACCCCAATTGGTACAGAGCTTCAAATCGTTTGGGACATGTAGGAATGATACCTTACAACTATGTTAAAGAAAAAAAGAGAGCTGTTAAACTTCATGCAATGCCGTAAGTTGACATTTGTCTCATGAAGATTGCTACTGGTATAAGATTTCATTCATTTCTCAGAATGAACATTCAGCTTCAAGCTTACAATAGGTTCTGAAAAGCCATGACTTCTCTAGAAATTATAAGGATAAAACAAGAATAATTAATATGTAATATTATATCCATGAAATGGGAGAGCTTCTGTGATTCTAAAGGAAGCCAATATACTGAGTGAAAGGTAAATGTTTAATTAGGATGGATAGTAATATATGCATTGTTATGTTACTCTCAGATGGTTTCATGGCAAGATCTCAAGGCAAGATGCTGAACAACTCCTTGACCGTAATGATGACGGCTTGTTTCTGGTTAGAGAAAGTGTCAATTACCAGGGAGACTATTCACTCTCTGTTTGGTATGTAGTGAAATGATCTTCTTCTTGATAAATAATGATGGAAGGAATGTATTCATGATGGTTTTTAGGAACCATTTAATATGCACCACGAAGAATAATTATTGTTTCCATGTTACATGTATGTATTACCCCCTTTAAATTAACTCTTAAGATTGGATTGTTAATTCTCCCCTTAGCTGCTACACATTTCCTTGTAAATTAGTTGTGAGTATTTGGTTTTAAATCAAGATAACAACTTCTACCTGATACATTTGATTTTCTCATTACTTGTTTGCTGGATAATGTATAGATATTGTAGGGAGAAGTTAACTTATGGGAGTGAAAGGGTTAAGTGTCCTCTGTCCTTAACTCTTTAACTCCCAAGATCTCATCAGTGATTCTCCTTACTGTCTACCATACAGTTCTTGTCATGTTTGGTATTGGATCAACTTATAATCCTACTAGATATTTTTCTTTATTCTCATCACTCGTGGGAGTTAAAGGGTTAACCACCATTAGTTGCCATAAGGATGAGTTTGATTCTAATGAGATGTCTGTTGTTCATTGGAATTTCATTAGCCATGGTGGTAAAGTTGAACACTACAGAGTAAGATACACAGAAGATAACAAACTCACCGTGGATGATGAAACCTTTTTCGAAAACCTTACTAAACTTGTAGAGGTATGTGATGAGTAATGCCACGCAGTTTGCTTTAATGAGTTCATGCAGGTTGTTAGTTTGTTTTGGAAACAACCCATTTCAGGTTTTAAAAAAATTAAGTTGTCTTTATGTTTAATTTTGTTTTTATTGTAGTTCTCCATTGAGGATCATTTGATTATTAATAATAATTAGTTTTTTGTTATAGACAAACAAGAAATTATTTTCTTCATTTCAAAGTGAATGCTTCTTAAATCTGAAAACTTTAAAACTTAAAGGAGAAATTTCAACACTTTCCAATCTTGAAATCATCAATCAGTGAAATAGTGTTGTTTGGATAATCTTGAAATATTGCCAGTTACAATTTAATGTATTATTTTCCTCTTTAATTGTTTAGCATTATGAAGGAGATTCGGATGGGCTATGTACAAGACTAGCCAAACCTCTGAAAAAGAAAGGAGGACACTATGATTTTTCTGTTGATCCAGAGTCATTCGAAAAAGGTTTGTAGTCTTTGCCAATAATTGTTTTAAAATTGGATAATTATGTATTGTCAGTAGCTTCTTAAGATTACTGTAATGCCAGACTGCCACATTTCAAGTTTTCCCAGAAATTATTTTGATGACATTGTTTCGAGAAAATTGTGTTTATTATAAACTTTTAATCTGTTATATTTGACAGTTATTGGTTTTGTCAAAATGTAGTGTTCCATCTGCACAATTTACGATTATAGCATGAATTTAAATTACAGCCTTTTGTTATTGTTTTGTTTTCTTTATCAGAGGGCTGGTCCATACAACGCACAGATTTGCATCTGGGAAAGTCTATTGGCAAAGGAGAGTTTGGAGGTAATGACAATGTGGAGTCTTCAAAATTGATCTGGTTGGTATTTGGGTTTAGTTACCAAAGGAATTTTCATTAAAACAACTGAAAGCTATTACAGCTACAATTGTCTTGGTGTGAGTCAAATTGAGAGCACATGAGTAAAAAAATTCTTTGAAGTTCTAAGTGACAAATTATTAAAACATTGGTGGTTGATTTTAATTTAGATGTTCTTCAAGCTGAATACAGAGGAAAAAAAGTAGCTGTCAAGTCTCTTTTAGATGACAGCCATGCTGCTCAGACCTTCCTAGCAGAAGCTTCTATCATGACGTATGTTTGAATCTCACTGTAGACAGTTACATGTAGTGATGTTTTGCGGTATATTTTAGATCACAGTGTTTATACAGTACAAAATAAAGGTTGGCAGTGGATCTCATTCCTCCTACTTTTGAATATCCTTCAGCAAGAACTGTCATTGTGATACTACAACAACAACAACATTTATTATTTATAGTACACTTTTTTGATAAAAATAATCAAAAGTGCATTACAAAAAGTTCTGTCTGACAAGCCAGTCTGTCTGACAGAACTTTTCCTTATCATCAGGCACAAAACTCAGAGTCACAGAGAATTGATGTGTCATCTTTAATTCTCTAACTTACATATACTTAGCTCTGCTACCACGGCATTGAGCACTTTTATGCCAGGGTAGACTCTACCCCCCATTCTCATATATATATATATATATATATATATATATATATATATATATATATACATAGAGTTTATATATATACTCCATATATATATATATATATATATATATATGAATGTGGGGGTAGAGTCTACCTTGTTATATATCTAATTATATACATGTGTTCTTAAAGTACCTAATAGATCTTAACAAAATGCCTTGGAAAACAAATAAGTCTTATTAGTAACATTTAAAAGAACCAATGTTTTTTGCCTGCCTTGGCAAAGGAAGGCATTGTGCATATAGCTTTCTCCATAAGCCACTACCAATCTCTACTCTCTAATGTAAGTAGGGAGCGTATCTGTATTCAATGTCTATTAGTACTGTTTACATATCCTTTGCTTTTTGCAGGGATTTGAATCACAAAAACCTTGTCAAATTAATAGGTGTATCAGTGGGAAAACCTATTTTCATTGTAACAGAATTTTGTGGAAAAGTAAGTGCAAAGTTTATCTTTTTGAGTATGTGGTTTTAAACCCACTTTCAGCAATCAAGTGTACATACTTTCGAATAATGAGACAAGAATTGAAACTGTTGTCAACTTTTCTGTGGATTCTATTTCTAGGGAAGTTTAGTAGAATACCTAAGAACAAGAGGGAGGACTGTGATTAGACAGAAGGATCTAGTAGGATTTGGAAGGTAAACTTTAAACAGAATGAAAATTTCACATGGATTAATGAAAGAGTAAATTAACTGTGTAAAGACATGAACAGAGGGAGATGCAATGAAGATTAATTTTTCCTAGTGTTGTATTGTCTTTTTGAATAAATAGGAGAGTGTGCTAGACCTCAGGTTATTGCATTATGTTCTTAGGCAAGACACTGTATTCTCACAGTGTGGCACACCCCCTCCCCTTGTAAGAATTGTAAATTATTGCAGATAGCTGTGGGGGGAAAACTGACAATTTCTGTGGGGGGTGAACTGCAATGGTTGGGTTTCCCCCCTAGGGAAGTAGAGATTCTTTGAGATGCTTCATGCTCAGAAACAAGAAAAGAATAATGCTTGACAGTGTAAGCAATGTGGCTCAGAGGCAGACTATATTAGATTTCATGTTTGTATTCTTATCAGTTTGTTTTTTGACCATGTGATTGTTATTAAGAGAACTTTTCCCCAGTCCTCGATTAATAAACTGAAGTTCTATGTGACCTATGGGATATGCTTTGTTTTACCTAAACAGGGATGTAGCTGCTGGTATGGAGTATTTAGAGTCAAAGAATTTGGTTCACAGGTATGAGATGCCTTTACTGGCACCCAATTTTAACATCAAGGGTATTTGTTTAAGCTTTGCTTTCATTATCTTTGAGACTGTACCAAAAAAAACCTCTTTTCTTGAGATGTGCAATTGTTTGTAACACTTATGATGTTGAGACTACAAGTAGCTAAAAACCAGTGTTTTTCATCATTTGATAGCAACATCTACATCCCAGTATAATTATTGTGTCACTTAATAGTTTTGCTCATCAAATGTGATTCTTTTTTTTCCCCTTGAAAATGAGTAGTGCTTAAGGTTTAGATTATAAACACCTATTCAAGCTGTTTGATATGGCTTTTATGTTATGGTCTCTCTGTCTAGTCAGATAGCAGCTGACACAAAACTGACCATTGCCCAAAGGACTGAAGTAAAGAAGTCATATTTGTCATAATGATGCCTCTCTCTGTAAACCACCCAGTACATTTAAGATGACCCTTTTATTTGAAGGAATGAAGAATTACTCAACTGTGTAATGTTATAATTTATCCTTAGGGACCTGGCTGCAAGGAATGTTCTCATACATGAGGATGGAACAGCAAAGGTATGTCTTTTGCTTTTGGCTATGGTGTTGGCTGACATTTAGAGGAACAGCATTATTTCAAACTAGTTGCCAGACTAATTAAAAGATTACAACGTTTGATATTCGTTGTCTGAAATGAAATTCAATTTAAGTGTATCGATGATTGTCTTTCTCATGGCAGGTGTCAGATTTTGGACTTGCACGAGAAGCCAACTTTAATTTAGAAGGAGGAAAGTTCCCTATCAAGTGGACAGCACCTGAGGCCATCAAACATGGGGTATGTTTAACTTATGTTAAGTGCTCTAATAAGCCTAGAAACTGATTGATAAAACATTGACTGTTATTTACACTACTTGCTTAGCTCAAATGAAAAAGAATGAAACGACTCCATGGTTAAAGGTTTTGATAAGCCCTTTAGATACCCTGACATCAGTATTCACATTCTCCTCAGTGATCTTTTTAAATTTCTTATGGTAATGACAAGGAGAATTTCTTTGACAATCAGGAACTTCTTAAACTGGTGATCATTTCTGTTATTCTCATGACCTTTACATTTAACTTTAGGGTGATACTGTGAGGAGAAATTATAAGCCAGTCACTCTTAGGGGTTGAAGGGTTAACCCCTTAAACCCCTGAGAGTGACTATCATCTAATATCTCCCAACAGTATAACCCCTGCATCACACAGTAAGGTCATGAGAATAAAGGAAATGATCACCAATGAAATATTCTCTATCACCAACAAATATCTCATGCCATAATTGACCATTGATTGTTATTGAAAATCCCTCAAAGAAGTTACTTGGGCATGAAACTGACCAAGAGGCATGGTTGTAATAAAACTCTTATTAGTGCATTAATTCCTGTGTTTATTTGCAGAGGTTTTCAACGCAGTCTGACGTGTGGAGTTATGGTATCTTACTGTGGGAACTGTTTTCTTTTGGCAGAACTCCATACCCCAGAGTGGTAAGTGATGCCAGCTTTTATTAATTACTACATTATTTCTTTGTCGCACTGGACACTGCCTGTTCCTGGTATTGAGTAAGTTAAATGAAACATGATTATCATTGATAATTAACTGGCTGATATTTTGGTTGTGTAATAAATGCCATTAAAACTTCTGGACAAGGATTTAAGTTGTGTATTTATTCATATTTCTCAGCACATAGACAATGTAATGGTTAAAATTGAAAGTGGGTATCGCATGGAATGCCCCGATGGATGCCCTGTTGGAGTTTATGATGTGATGAAAGATTGCTGGGACATCACTCCAAATCAACGACCAACATTCCACGAAATATACAAGACCTTAGAACGGTTTCACCAATCATTTTTACCAGATGGAAACTGATGCTACCTTCTTGCAATATAACTCCTTTTGGTAATGAAACCATATCTGTCAGAATGAGAAATGCTTTGATTGTCGATGTCAATCTTTGCTTTCTCAGTTACAAAAGTTGTAATAATAACTCCATGAAGCATCTCATTTCACTTCCACCCAGAATTTTGATGAAATTAGTTTTGTGTTTCAATTTTCTTTTTCTTTTTTTTTTTATTTGATGAGGAAAGTTTCTAAAGTTAGTTTTGGTAAGAAAAGTAAATTTGTAAAGAAAGCATTCAATTTTTATTTATCTTTGAAGTTCTATGGTGAAACAGTCGCCATTAATTAGCTCATGAACAAGTAGGTAATAAATGCAATATTGATATGGAAATGATAATACCTAGGCAACAATATATATCAAGTTTATTGTTAGACATCTGTGAAATATCCATCTGATTTATTTTCCACTTCAGCTAGAGATGTAATTTAAGTGATAGACAAAAATGACAGAAGTTTAACATGAATTTATCATATGATTTTCTTTTGAGCTATTGATTTGGACAGCCCAAATAGTTTATCTAATCAAGGAGTACTTTTGCTCTTTTTTTTTCCCTCAAGACATGGAGTCAATTTAGAATTTAACTCCAAATTTGAAAATTTCTTATCAATGCCACAAAGTTAGTAACAGTTTTTGTAACTATAAGGACTTAAATTTAAATTTAATGAGCCTTTTTTTATACACGTGTATAACATTTGACTTAAAGCACCTAAGAAGTTGAGATGCAGAAGCAGAAGTCTAAATTAGTGATAAGTAATTGGTTGCTAGTTGGATGTTACTGGGTGAAGAGAAGAAAGTTACATTTTACTTCTCTCAACTATATATCTATTAAACAACTTGATCACATGTATGTTGTGAGCTTAAGAGATACTTTAGGAGCAGGAAGCTTTTCTAGGTGCCCTATAGATAAAGACAGGCTCTACAGAATATTAACAGGTTCACAGGAAAAGTTTCTGAAAGGAAGGAGGTGTAGGAGGGTGCAAAAGAAATGTAAAATGGCCATTGAAAGTAAATAAGTTTAAGTTGCTCTTGTGTAAGTAATTGGATCATGTTGCTATTGCAGTTATAAGTAGGACTGGTGACTATTTGAAATTCTTATTTGCCAGATTAAAAGGCTAAGCAAATCTGTTCAGACCTTTGCTGTAGCCACTGGAACCTCTCATGGGTTTGTCTGTGATAGAAAGTAGTTGTATGTTTTGATCTGTGGCACACAGTAATTGTCTTTCTCCTACCTTAGGTCCTTTCGGGCCTTTCACTGTTAATCAGCAACATTTTTTCTTGCTTGAGTGTAATTTAATTAATATTGGAAGTAAATTAGTTTAGCATTTTTAATCATCCGCAGTAACTATTTTAACCAAAATCAAATCCTTTTATCTGTGATCCTGGCAATTTCATGATAACCAAGTTCAAAGTTAATCATGGAAAATTGATGCACCAGTCATTCTTTTGTAGGTCATGTGAATGATTTACTACAAGAACTATTTTTATACTATGGAAAATATATTTCTGTAAACAGGATGCCCATAATAGATGGTTGTTCTGTTAACATTGCTTAATTGGGTGAAATCTTAAAGTTTGAATATTAGGCATCAATAGATTTAAGTGAGAATGTCAATGTTAAGTTCTTTGTACATCCAACACTTTGTAAATGAAGAATCATTAACCCTTCACACAATAACATCAGTATCCATATTCTCCAAACTCTTCTCTTCACATTTGCTTTGGTACTGATAAGGAGAATTGTTTAACAATCAGAGCTTTTTAGGTTGGCTATCATTTCCTTTATTTTCATGATCTTGATTAATGATTCAGCAGAATTGTTGGGAGAAATTAGGTGCTGGTCACTCTTAGGGCTTAAAGGTTTAAGGTGGAAGAACTTTAAGTTGTACTAAACTCAAATATATTGAAAGAATATTACTTTATACTTCATAGGAAAGCAAGTTATTACTCTAGGCCTTAAAATGTATCTTTTAATATTACTGTAAGCTGTGTGTTAATCCCATGTCACCAACCATGATATCCTTTATTTTTTTCATTAAATAGGATTAGCAATTCTTTTACCATTGTTTCTGTTGAAAAGTAATAGAAACTTGTGACTTCTTAGACTAATTCTAAACTTGAAAAATATTTTAGGATCTTCATTTTTTGTAAAGCTTAAGCTTGTAATAAAAAGTGTGTGTTGAGAGGTATCTTCATTTAAATTTCGTAATTCCCTCTGGTAAATCTAATTTTTTAAGTTGTCATGAATATGGAAGCTATTTTTCATACACAAGTGTTTATATGAATAAAGGAAAACAACAGTTCCAGAGGGTGAGTGTGATGTGTTTGTCTGGGTGAGGCTAATCATTGCAAAGGTAGAATAATTAATGTTTCAACTTAACTGAAAGTGTCATCTAAATGGTTTAACACCTGAGTTTGATCTGATTTTAGCAAATTTGAGTGGTGCGGGTTTGAGAATGTCCTGAGATTGGAAGATTTAATGACTGCGCATTGGATAAATTGGATTTATGTAGAGGTATCATTTATCTTTCAAAATAACTTATGTACTGAAGTAAGTATGACCTTAATTAAGCATCACCCCTTAACAATTGTTGCCCATGAGAGCAAGAATAATACTTAGTATAGCCTTGCATAAGTGCTCTATTTCAACCAAGGTTTGTTTGGGGAATATGACTAATGTTCAAGTGCCCATAGGCTTGATTACCAGCCACTGTTCAGGAATATGAGCGTCTGCTCCTTCCCTCAAACCCTCTCTTCAAGGGGGGGAGCAAAGACTGGACACAAGAAAGCAGTGGAAATCAAGCCTAAAGTATCCAGTACCTGCAAATAAGTGCTGCACTTAAATTCCCTTACTCCCCCCCCCCCTCTGAAAAAAGCATCAAAGTCTATGGCACTCAAATAAATGCAGAATGCAAAATTCTTTAAACAAAATATGTTGTTTATTATCAAATACACAGAAGTACTAATCTGAAGTATATCCTGATGAACTGATTCGTTCATGTTGTTTCAACTCTTTACTTGGTAGAATCTCAACTTGATCAATTTCTTAGATCAATACAAAATTTGACTAACATTGCCCAAGATTGATCCTGATTATAACTGCCTATTCAAGCAAAGTTGCTCTATATCAAGACTGTTTATATTTTGATTGACACAAGAAGTGATCACTGATAACTAATATCAAACCCTAAATGGTCAAAGGTCTAAAAGGAATTATCATACATGTGTTTTTCAGGAGCTTGTTTATGGGCAAGGTAGAGAAATCCAATACTTGAAAGAGCACTTATGAGGAAAATCACATCAAACCAACGATGATAAAAATTAAATTGAAGTTCACCAAGTACTTCTGTAATAATCTCCCGGTATTTACCAGGCATGTTCATCCTCATTAACAAGACAGACGAAACAAAGTACATACCCATGATTTCAGCCAAAAAAAGAACAATAATATTAGAAGATTTACTACTCGCCATTGCATTGAAAAACTTTGTCAGTGTTATGAGGAGACCTCTTATTGATGTCACAATTAAGATTCCAATCAAGAAGAATGAGATATGCTGTGACCAGAATAACACATCAAATTTCCATCCAAGATAATTGACAGTTATTTCAATACCACGCGTGACAGGATCAGTCTTGCCAACACGATCAAACACAATGTTTACTGTTGAGATGAAAATCTTCCAAATACAATACCCAGAGAATATATGCCCAACTAAGTCAAAGTATTTTCCTTGCAATGTCTTTGATAATTCCATTCTCTCCTTGGTATTATGCAGATCCACAATTTCCAGGAACAATTGTCGACTAAGTTCTTCCAGAGCATCTACTTCTTTTTGGAGATAACTGGTGTCAGGGCCACCACTCCCTGTCATACTACTGAACATGCTCCAAATTCCTGATAAAAAATAATGTGAAACACAGGACAATAATCCTTTGGTCTTCTGGTAAAATTTACACAGGTACAGTAAACTGTTTGGAAATTCTTAAAAAAAAAGAACAGTTGAAATTCATCCTGCTATATATATCACAACCCTCAGAGCATTATTTAAGAAATGGCAAGGTAACAAGGCACATTAAATTAGCTTGTTTGATCCCTGACTGATCTAATATTTCTAAACATTGTATAGATTACATCTCAACACCAGAGATATTTTTGAACTGTATACTACATTGCTAGATGCCTTTCTCAGAGCAATTCTCTGCCTTCACCCTTCTCATTCGACAAAGACATACAAAGCATCCATCTAAGTTCTCTGACTGAGGAGGAGGGGGAGGGGTGGGTTAACTCTGGTAAAAAAGCACCTACCTGTCTTTTGCTGTGTGGATGCAGCAAAGCGCTGGCTTTCTCTCTTTGCCAGAGCAATCCTTTTTTTCTTACTGAGAATTATATCCATTGTTTGGAACTGTCTTCTTTCTAGATTTTGAATATCCGCATCGGTCACGTGTCTCATGAAGTAGGTCATGTAGGTGTATGGGCAATTAACTGCACCAAATCCAGACAATATGGCCATCATAGTGACCCCGATCACCCCCACTCGGCTGATTCCCTGCTCGATCGAGAATATTCCGTGCTTAGAACTTAAAATTGGGAACGGATTTCCAATTTTCCAAAACATGTACAAAAAGGCAAGCCAAAACGTACCCGCGAGTAGAACCACAATTCTCCTCCTGTGGACAAATCGAATCGTCCTTACTAGGAAATAAGATATGTAGAAGGGCAGGAGAAAAATTAAGGTAAATAACATGGAGTAAAGCCCGAGTTTCCAGTGAAAGAATCTTGAACTCTTGTCCAGAATACCAAGAATCTCGAAAATTACGAGCTCAAACATGGTGCACGAGAGAGCGAAAGTTAATGAGAAGACCAGCTGAACGGCCGTGTGGTGTACTTCATAGTTTCTAAATAGTCTCCTCATGAAGAACATCCAACCCATACCGAAGAAGAAGAATTGTGAACAAAAGACAACGGAGCAATCCGCGAAAAACGACATTGTGTCCTTGCATTTGCCACGTCTAGCTTTACGCCGAATACCCTGCCGACGAGAAACGACTCTTGCACGATGCTATGCCGATAAATGGTCGCATCTCACACGGAAACTGTGACGTAAATGATAGAAATTCCTGAATACCCAATCAACCAATCAGATGATAGGGTGGGTATTTCAAATACTGCTGTCTACAAAGAACTGATCATCAGTTCTAAAACGCTTCTGCAAGGTTGAAGTGATAGTCATTTGGAACGAGCCCTATTCTACTGTATCATTGCTTTCGCTCAAGTTTTATTTTTTTAACAAGCTTATTTGCAGTTTTTGAATTCTCATCAAAGATGGCAGCCGTTGGACGAATGAATGTGAGTAAAAGTTTTGGTCTTTGTGAATGTCGTTGCTTCTTAGTATTGAATTCGTAGTGAATCACTTCTGTAGAACAGCTCACTTCTTAGAGTACCTTTCATTAAATCTCTTCTTTCATACAGGTAATCCGCCTTGACCAAGAGAACGAGAATTTACTCGCTGGGAAAGCCAAAATTTCCAAGAACACGAGACCTCGTGCAGCTCTGGGTGACTTGGGAAACAAACCAACAGCACTCACGAGCAAGGTAAATGTTCTTTTAAATTTGGTTCATCTAATTCTCTGATGGTTTAAAAAGGTAATTGGGCATTTGTCCTTCTTTCAGACCGCTGCGAACCTTGCCGTTGGCGCTAAACCCAAAAGAACTTTACACAGAACCGAAGGAACAAGTGGTTTACTCTCGAAGCAAGCAAAAGACAATGAAACTAAACAACAGAAAAAGACGATTGATATGGGTGTTGTCAGTGAAGCGCTAGAGTCTTGTATGTTCGCAACGAAACCTTCAGATGTGATAGATATCGATAAGGATGACCACTCGAATCCACAACTCTGCGCTGAATACGCTCAAGAAATCTACCAGTACATGCATCAATTGGAGGTAAGGAAGACGCCATTTTAATTTCCTCTTGCTTTTGTGTTCTTTGTCTAATTAAAGAACGTCCTTTCACTGAATATTCAAGTAGCTAGCAGTGAAAGATTTCTTGAAGTTGTGTGGTTTTTTTCAAGGTAAACGGGTAATTCTTGTCTGACTTTGTCCTTTGAATTTTCAGCGTAAATTCCACGTCAACCCAAGATATATGAGCCAGAGGTCAATAGTAACCGATAAAATGCGAGCCATCCTCGTTGACTGGCTTATCCAGGTTCACAATCGCTTCCGCCTGTTGCAAGAAACTCTTTACATCACTGTCTCCATCTTGGACAGATTTTTGTCGGTGAGTTTGAATCATCTTTTACTTGTCAACCAAAATCCTTTCAGCAAACTTTTATTACTTTTATTGCCTATAATCCCTCCTTTGTATCAGAAATCAGCTCTAAGTTTTCTTGTAATATTTGTTGATTTAACAGTCAACAAAGAAAACCAACAGTGGCTAGAAATGAGAGATACAATTTCCAGCAAATAAAAGATGCAACTGGCTTTTCTTGTCACTATGGACCTGATAGAAAAGCGCAACTTTGCACAGTTATAAGCACTGAACAGTGTATCTGTACATATTTCTTGAAGTATTGGTCTGACCTCTTAAATCTGTTTTTTTCTTGTAGATCTATGATCCCACAAAGGAAGAACTTCAATTAATTGGTGTTAGTGCTATGCTTCTGGCCTGCAAGTACGAGGAGATGTACTGTCCAGAGATTAGCGACTTTGTTTATATCACAGATAACACATACAAAAAGGGTCAGATAAGGAAAATGGAGGGTGTTATTTTCAAGCAACTTGAGTTCAGTGTTGGGAAGCCTCTATGTCTTCATTTCTTGCGAAGAAACTCCAAAGCTGGGGAGGTGAGTAATTTTTAAGTTTATGATGGCAATTGGGTAAATGTTACATTAAGGATCCTCTTCATTAGGATATCATTCATAGATGGTATGATGAACCTTCCTCTGTAACCCTCAGACTTGTCCTAAATGAAAAATAGATTTCGTTGGTCAGACCAAAATTCTTTTTTTGTGGTATGACTTACCCCTCTGACCCTTAAAGCATATCAAATCACATGTCTCCTCACAACATCACCCCCAAATTGCATAGTAAGGTCACAAAAATGTAGGAAATGATCACAAACTTAAAATTAGTAGCTATTGATCATTAAACTAATTCTCCTTGTCTGCACCTTGGGAAATATACAGGGAACACTGGAGTATATTCATACTGATGGTAGGGTGAAATTTAAAAAAAAAAATGCTGAAGTGATCAAAGCATTTTGAACTTGGTACCTGATGAAAAAGTCAGCATTACAACAGTGAAAAGATACTAAGGTGTTCCTGTTCACTCTGCAGTGGATGTTGAAAACAGAACAAATTATTTGTACATGAAATATGGTCTCCCGTTGTGTAACTAGATTGTAGAGTTGCAGAAATGCTTTCGCTCATTTTTTGTCTTCAGTGTGTGTTGATCAACTTAGCTTTTCCTGTTTAGGTTGATGGAGTAAAACACACCATGGCAAAATATTTTATGGAGCTTTCCCTTGTGGACTACGGCTGCATGAAATTTCTTCCATCTGAGATTGCAGCAGCTGCATTGTACATTGCAATGAAAGCCGATGATGGATCAGAGTGGACACCCACTTGTGAATATTACAGCATGTACTCAGAAAGTAAACTGCTGCCTTGTGCCAGAAGACTTGCCTCTCTCATCACCAAGACTCTTGATGGAAGTGCCAGGCTAAAGGTAAGACATGGATGCATGAATGGGAAAGTACCCCAAGAGAAACCGGCCCTTTTTTTTTTTTTGTTATATGGGTCAGTGTGCCCCAGCAGCCAATATTTTACACTGGCTTCATTTTTACCAAAACACCCACTTTTTCAATAAGAATAAAAATATCTATTTACCAGTGTTATTTTTGATTTAAACTTTGCCTGTTTTTGGCTTCTTCTAACCCTAAGCTGGTACCTGAAAAGTATCTGGAGAACACTGATGGATGGCAAAGGGCAAAGGGGTACAATCTCTGATTTAGTGATTACTTGCAACTGCTCGATACATTTTTTATTTGAGAAGGTCAACTCTAAGATTTATTTGTTTACCATTCAAAGTTAACATAAAATTCATAGTGTTGTATCTTTTTTATTCTTTCAGGCGGTTTACAACAAATATTCAACCTCCAAGTTCATGGAAATCAGTAAACGGCCATGTCTAACATCCTCTTTTGTCACAAACCTTGCAGCTGAAGACTTGCAGCAATAGATTATTATTAGTGTTTATAAATTAATATAACTATATTACTCGTATTATTACTTCAATGAATTATTTGGCTACATGAAGACAAGCATCAAAATTTGAATATAGTTTACTTGCAGAGTTGTAGTGAAAATACCACTGATCAATTGTTTAGTGTAATCTACAGCTTTTTGTGAAGTTTGCTCTCATCTCCAGACATTTTGCAATTTTCATTTGATCTGTTTAAGACAGGTTAAATACAAGGCAATGGTGGATAACAATCTTTCTAGCCAACTGTAAATATCTATTTCTCTAGGCCCTCTAGAATAGAGGTGTTGAATGGACACAAGACTCGGAAGAAAGTGAATCTGATTGAATGTCAAAACTTGACCATCAAAAGTTTCAGAAAATGCACTTCTGGAAACATTGAAATGATGTACATGTTCTTCATTATTTTTATGATTTGTTAGATTTATCATTGTTATTGTAGAGTTTCAGATTTTCATTTCAGAACAGGTTATAAATTTTGTAAATATTGTAAAAGTTAGCTTCATTTATTTCTTAATAAAACAGTAATCTTCACACCTGTTTGTCATTAGATACTTTAAAAGCAGTTTTGTGTGTAATGTGAAATGACTCCTAGGTACCTTAAATTCTTACATTGATAATTGTGTAATATAAGTCTATAATTATTATTGGTTTCAATTTTCACCTACGCTTAGTATAGGGCATTTCTTAGTGTTTGGTTGTTTCATTTTTGCATGGAAACAGTGTCCTTTAGGCCTATGGCTTGTAATTAAAACTAAAGGTTGCATTATAGTTTCTATACCTGGCCACACTTAAATATTCTGCTTCAATAGAAATTGCCAAAAGCTTTCTCAAATCTTGTTCAGGAGGTGTTGCATTCTTTAAAGTACCACTGGGATCAGATTTTCAGAGGAAAATTATCTCGTAAATGCAATTTAAAAGCTACCAGTAAAGTTTGAAGGGTCACCTATGATAAGATTAATATCCTCTAACATGTATAGCTTTACAAACTTAACTGAGCAGAAGATTTAGTTTATCATTTCCCACTCTGGGAATATCAAAGCATCTGCTGCTGACAAGCTGGGGTTCCTGTCTTTTTTGCGAGCACAATGGGAGCTACAAAATTCTCCTCAGTGCAAACCATTAAAGCACTCAAGTGTTCTGTTCAAGGTGTTTTCCATTGAGATTCTTAAAAGATCACTTGATGTACTTCTCAAACACAACCTGTGAAGCTAGATGTTTTTGTGGGAGTTCAACTGCAGTAAAAGCAGTGTAAACACAAAACCATAAATATCAAAATTTTAACATACAAAAGTAATTTACTGGAGTTCAGGATCATCACTTCCGGAGACTGGCTCCCTGTTCACTGTTTTCAGGTTGAAATTGAAATTAAGAGTGTTGACAACTCAGAGATAAACTCTTGGAGGAAAGCCAACTACAGATTCAGCCCAAGTGTTATGGTTGGGTCTGGCAAATTGTACCTTCCCGAAAGTGTGGTAGGGGCAATTGAATCTACCCCACATTGGTTGTGGGGAAAGGGGGGAGTGCCCTCCACATTGCATCATCTCTACATAGAAATACCATAAATGATCTATGAAATTCACACCTACGACCCTCAGATTTGAATAGAATTATTCTGTTTTCTCACCAGGCAAGTGGGAATTGAAGAGGTCAAGTTGATTATCTTGTAGAGTTGAAGCAAACCAAAAACCATTTAAAATTACAGGAACTTCTAGGACTAGAGTGCACAATTTAGGAGGGCATGAAAATAGTTTGAACGTTTGTAAAAATAATAGCCAAAACTGTGAGTTTTAAATTTTTCCATCCTTGGCTGTTGATTGCAGTTTAATAATAGAAAACCAAGGATGGTGAGGGATATTCTTTATGTTGGAAGCTGAATATAACATATTTGAATAACACCCTCTCATTTATTTTTTATGATTATTGTTTTTCAATCTGTAGCTTGATATTTGTGAAGCAGATGAGTGGGAAAGGAAAAAGGTAACTTAAAGATAATTTTAAAAAATGTAGCAGCAAATAACTATGAAAATGTAATTATTTGAGAGAAGATTTATTTGTAACTTTTACAAAACAATACTACGGATTGCAATAGTATTTGAGGAAAACTTCTGGCTCTGTACGGTGCTTGTAGTGCAACAGGAGATAAGCTTAGCTCTCCTCAGCTTCCATTGATTCTCCTTCTGGTCGTTTATCACCTGCATCTCCTTCACCAGTAGCCTGTAGTCAAACAATTAGAAATACATAATTATATATATACATACACACACATTTATAAATAAGAGTACACAAACATAGCTTACAAAGGAAAGAACTTTGGAAAAAGAGGGCTACAGTACCTGAGACTCTGCTTCCATAGCAACATCACCAGCAGCCTTTAAGAAAAACCATACAAAAGATTACAAGATGAACTAATTATAGGCGTGTGAAGAACAGACTTTATTCTTATGGTAAAGCAAGGTATAAAAATTCTCTGTTCCAAGGATTTGCCGAGCACAATGACTTGCTACCTATAAACCTTTTCATTCCCACTATCCTATTAGTAATTCTCCTTATTGTCTGCCCTACAATTCTTGTGATGTTTGCCAGGAGAATTTGAAATTGGATCAACTAATAATCTCCTAATTGATATTTTTCTTTATTCTCATTATTTTCTGCTTGATATTGTATTGATATTAAAAGGACAAATTTTGCCTTGGTCACTCATGGGAGTTAAAGTGTTGAAAGTCACTCTTAGGATAATGCTAATTCCACAGTAACTTTGTTGTCACATGCATCTGGCATAATATTTAAATGGAAAACGTCACTTGCAAAAATTGTTTCACAGGAGGAGGGCAAGTGAATCACAGTCCAAGCCATACATACAGTAACATTCAATCTTAATGTCCCATAAGAGAACAGCTTTTTTAGAAACACTTCTTGTGACACAAAGATCTCCCTAAGGTTCAGCTACACCAAGCAGATAGAAAACTCTTCAAGTATGGATGACCCATTCTTTCCATTTCCTCTCAATTAACACTTTACACTTAACATTGGTAAGCATATTCTCCATACTGTTCTCCAAACATTTCATAAGGTACAGACAAAAAGAATTTGTTTAAAAATCAAGAACCTCTTCAGTTAGTGATCATTTCTTTTATTCTCAAGACCTTTATGTGTGATTCAGGGGTAATATTGTTAGGAGAAAATAGATGCTGGTCACTCTTAGGCATCAAAAGATTTAGATTGATGCAGCTACTCTTACCTCAGCTCCCCTTCGTCTCTTTGTTTGATCAATTCCAGCCAACTGTAACAAGTTAAGGGTTCTTGTATGTACAATTTTTTTAACTCTCCTGGTGTAACTTTCAAAGCATATTTTGTTACCTCGAGATAATAATTAGTTTGTTGTTCTAATACTCTAAGCAGTGAAACATCAAATATACATTAAGTTGGATGGTGTCCTCAATGATTTATATCAGCTTTCTTAATTTCCATCACTTGGTTCAACAGGAGTGAGGTGTCATGTTCCTAACTGAGCTACCTGACTTGTGTAACCTTTGCTATATGATTAGCTTTTATCAACTAAGTGGTCTTAGTTTTTCAGTACACATATTTTTTTTAGATGGAGCCCATCATGTAAAAGCCCTGTGGTTTCTCATGGGGTTCCTTGCCACCTTTAGTCTATCTTTTTCTTTCTTTAACAGACTAAAAGCAGTCCCCTTTTTCGGTGATGTTTGCTGTGCTTGTTGAACAGAGGGAAAAAAAAATCAGCAAAAAAAACAGTGATGCTGACAAACTAAGCAGAGTGACTTGGACTGCTCATAGCCTATTTCTTTGCACTTATAAATGATAATAACATTTACGACAAAATAAATAAAACAGAGAATTAAACCAAGGGAAAGTGAGTTTCAGGCACATAAAGCAAGCAATGGAGCTTTAAGATGTCAACCTTTATAATAACAGCTAACAAAACTGTCTTTCCTTTGTTTTGCACTAAGAAACCCATAAGATATGCAGCCTTGTGTCTTTTTTGCCATTTCAACTCGCATTATCAAGCAGAGCTTTCTCTTGATGATTGATATGTCACATAAGCTTGACATTGAGTGACACACAACACATCCCTCTTCCAGACTGACACAATTGAAGCCACAACCTAAGAAAACAAACTATTCAGGAGAAAACCAATTCTGAATCAAAGGATACATAAGGAGCTACACCTTCATCACTGTAAATCACCAGATCCTGATCCTTGCCAACCACACTTATGGAACAGTTCTACAACAAAATCAACAAGAATAAAGTCACTCGCATGCAACGGCTGTGAGACAAAGAAAAACATGAGAGCCTCATGAGGATTTGAGCAAGTTATTTCTGACCTGGCATTTGAGAGCTGGCCAGAATTTGAGGGTTACATTGTCCATCTTCAAAATATATTACAGTTTACACATCACTTTGTCTGTTTATTTTTTTTTTATCTTGAGCTTGGATAGCTCCTGTAGATTTCACTATACCTTTATTGTCAGTTCTTGTTCATTTGGAAGAGTCTCTCTTAGTGCTCTTAAGCCATGTTTGATGAGCTCTTCAGGTTCACCTTGGCACAGAAGGAAATAAAAGCACATTATCGTGAGTAATGCTCAGAAATAACAAAAGGGACAGTTTTTTGTTGTCACAGAAACTCACACAGTTGTAATTAAGAACTTGGTGATCTGCTTCCTTAAAATCAAAGTAAATATAATTTAGGACTAAAAGCAATTTTTCTTTAATTATAATCATAAACACAATTAGGTATGGTGTACTTACAATCTGGAAATTCATCCAGGTGTCTCTCAAGGTATGTTCTTGCAGACTATAAAGATATTAAGAAACTGTGAACCTTCACTAACAATTTTTTTTGGCAAAATTTTGGACAACTTCACCGATATCAATAAAATATATAACATTTTGTCCAATATTAAATTTGCAGTGAATTTGATGTAAATATGACACAACTTCCATGCCTGGGTAATTTCTAACTGACCTTGATGAGTTTTCAGGCCTATCTACATGATGTTACTCAAGACTAAGGTTGTTCTTTTTGAACAAGTTCAATTGCTTTTTCAGAAATTTTCTGTGTTTTTCGGACTTTTATCTTTTTCCTTCATACAAGATTTAGCAGCCTCATTCATGAAAGGTGCAAAGAATCAACACAGAATCATATCTTATGCCACACTTGACATCAGAAGGACAGATATTCTTTATTTGTTTAAGGAGAGTTATAACTTACCTGAGACCTAGCACCAATAGCCATTGCTTTACAATCAAAGTAATTAGCTGAAGGACATGTCTGGTAAATATGTGGACCCATATCCTGCACATATTAACAACAAAAATCATGAACTACTGGATCATTTATCATGATCAAACTGAAAATACAAAATAATAAACCTATCTCACACAATGCCATTTGAATGTACTGATGACATTTTTCATTTGATTTGTCAATCAAGTTCCCATTTTTCCCTAACTTGAGAAATGAATTTCTCAAACTCATTATTTATTCACAGGATAATCATCTCACAAAAAGATGCAAATTGTTTCAGGTTTGAAACCCCAGTGAAACACTGGAATGAGGTGTCATCCATGAGTTTTATGCAATATCAAAATCATCACGAGTTTTATGCAACATCAAAACCTTGAGTTTGATAAAGCATCAAACTCTAGTTCACTCATTTCTTAAACTGAATATCAATAAAAAGTATTTAAGTACTTAAAACAAAGACACCAAGAAAGTTGCCTACAAGATGTGAAAAATTTGAGAATACCTCCATTTTTCTTTATTAATGAGGCATGATTGAGAAGCTATGTAAAAAACTAATGCATTCTGTTTCAGGGTTTCCAAACAATCAAAAAAAGGAATAAATGTATAAGGCCTAATTTTCTCTTGTTTGGAAACCTTGAAGAATCACTTGCACTTGTTTTTGAAATAGTGCATCAATCATCCAGCAAGAGGCAGCATAGCTGAGAGGAAAGAGAGCTAGAATCACTCAAGGCAGAGGTTCTAAATTCAAGTCCTTATTTTTACTAACTACTCACATCATATCCTGCCACAAGAAGACCAACTCCATATGGTCTTCTGCCATATCGCTGTGTTGGTATTTGCATCTCTGTTTTTTTTTGGTCAAGAATATTTTTGATAAAACACAAAGTTATCATGTTTGTAAACTGTTTTTAAAATCAAACAGAAAGAAACACATTCAAGCAGCCAAAGAGTAGTAATCAATGTCAGCCCTTTTACAACTAAAAGATGCATAAGACCTCAATTATTTTGATGAAAGTTTTTCATGAGTAGTTTCAATCCACATAAATGCAATCTCATCATTAGGATACAAATTGGATTCATTTATTTTCAAGCCAAAAAAAGTCTTTTTCTCCATTTGGAATCATTTATTGTTTATCAATTAAAATAGTCGTCAAGGAAAAAGATACTGTCCCCCACTGCAGAAACAAGTCTTGAGACAGGTAATCGTCTATCATATGCATACTTGGAGTTGAGACACTCACTCCTCATAAATTTACTGAAATGAGATATTGACTGATATCAGTAACAATGGAAGTAACTTAATCATACACTTGTTTGAAAATATTTAAAATAGTATTTTATGACATAGACTCTTGTAAAAGTCCATCTTTAGGGTCATTCTTGATTATAGATAAATTTCACTTTAGGTTTCTAACCTAACCAAGGTCACTACTATCCCTAGCAATTTGCTCACAAAATGTGAAACTTCATTCTTACCTTCAGGAGGTAGTTACCATTACATAATTGGTACCATCAATATTGTTATGTTAATTGTAGAGTTTATTGCTTACTTACTTAAGTTTTGTGTTTTTCATTTTTAATCATAACCATTACAATTTCCTAAAATGTGATTAGTTCACTAACTGCTTTATTTGTCACTAATTATTTTGTAGAGTTGCAATTGTACAGTTCACTGCAATTGGACACCTGTAATCACACATCCAATTTTGCTGATCACTCATATGATTATAAACCAAATTGGACTCCACTCAGTCCCATTACCATTAATAATAAATACTTTCAGTGAGTTAATACAACATTAATTTAAACAAAATTAAATTACCATTATAGTTCATTTTAGAAAAGATGACAATCAACTCACCTTAAGAGTCGAGCATCTGCAGTCAGGCCTGCTATGGAAACAGCCACATGATCATCAATAGGCAAGATCTTTTTCTGGTGAGCAGACAACTCTGATGCTGCTCGCTACAATAGGAGGGAAAATTTTGAACACTTTGTATTATAGAAACTTTAAAGGCTGGTGTAATTTGTTGTTCTTTAATAAAAAGAATGTAATGTTTGACAAAATAGCTGAAGGTCACCAATGAGTTCCTTGAGGACAAAACAAAAACACTGTATGCACAATATAAATCAGCTTGGCCAACCATCATGCATTGTAAAAGAATATGAGTACCAAGTTAACTTACTTTTAATGCAACAATAATTGCATGAGTTTTTGATTTCAGTCCTACTGTGGCTGACCCCTGACAAAGAAAAAAACACCAATCAGGTTATAGTATGTGAATAATTGAAAGCAATCTTTGCTTTAATGAACACTACTTGAGCAGTAGTGAACATAAGGCCTGAAAAAATTCAGGCCTGCGCAGGATTTGAACTCATGACCTCTGCCATACCAGTGCAATGCTCTACCAACTAAGCTAACAAGCCAACTGGGAGCTGTTCATTATGTTGGTTTCAAATAAACCCATGAAGTAACAAAGAAATGACGGTGAATGTATGAAAATCATATATGTGAACTATTTGGAACCTTTCTGCTCAATTAGTGTTCATAACTGTGAGGATCACTTTCATATTCACATCTTTATCCACAGTTCACATATATGATTTTCATATATTCACTGTCATTTAGGTTATAGTACATACTAAGACAGTTTGCATGATAATGGAAATTAAGATGCTACATGAAATTTTTTAGCCAAGTATAGATGAAAACACAGAAACATTTCCAAACAAGAAAGTCTAAGTGCTTCCAACTGAAGTCCAATTTTGACCTACTCATAAATACTGTAAAAACTTGTGTATAATCTGCCTCATAAATAAGCTGCACCCCAAATTTCAAGTATGATTTTGAGAAAAAATTCAAACTTGAATCCTCTACTACTGAGAAAAAGGAGACAGACAATGGCTTGTCTTGCCTATGATGCTACTTTTGTGATTTAACTTCCTTTAGACTCCTTTACAAAGTTCAGTTATACAGTTTTGACCCACATGATTATATCCTCAGTATACAACTGCTTATATTTCCTGATTTGCCTGTTCAATTTTTACAGTTTTATTGAATACTAAAATACATATAAGCAGTACAACTGCTTACACACTATCCCACATACATTGCCAACAGCATGTGGCAAATTATGCACATTACATACCTGCTTCACAGCTTCCATTGCATATTCAATTTGATGTATACGGCCCTGAAAAGACGAAGAAAACCATTTGAGAAGTTTCTGTAAACCCTTCAACTCTCAGTTCAAAGTTTTAATTCTCCTTACTGTCAACCATACAATTCTTGTAATGTTAGTTCAGAGAATTTAGTATTTGATCAACTACTTATCTCCAAATTGATATTTTTCTTTATTCCCATCACTTATCTTGTTGATATTGTATTGATATTGTGAGGAGAAATTCTGTCTTGGTCACTCATGAAAGTGAGGGTTAAATGTAAAAACTAGGGTATATGGAATCACTGGGTTTGGAAACTTCTCAACTGTGCTCTTCGGCTGCCTAAATGATGTGTCAAAATGATTAATTTTTATGTTTCTCTCTCACTTATGGGGTAAATTGAAATAAATTTTAGTTCATAGATTTGAAAGCAGAGTCACAGTAATTTTTTTAATCATTTTCTCACCTCTTGAGCAACACCATGTAAAACCCTTTTGGTTCACTTGAGGGTCCACCAAAAGAGGAAAGGAAAATAATAAAATGGATACCCCTTAGAATCGATGACATCTTCAATTTTATCAAAAGATGTGTCTCGTAAAATGTCCTTGAAAGCAGGAAATATTTTTAAAAAAACCGACTACAATGAACGACACTAAATCCACAGAACTTCAAGCATTGTACTAAACGTACTTACCTGGGGGCTCCAAACTGTAACATCGTTATCATACTGATTACGGAACTAAAAGAGAACGATTTTTGAAACACAAATTACACACATGTAACTAAATTTGTTGGAATGTAACTTTCGATTAAAGTTGTCAAACGAAGCTGACCTGACGTTTGGATAATACCGTAGCTAAGAAAAGAAAGTCATGCACCGATTTTCTATTAATTTTTAAAATGGACTCAAAAAATACATCTCAATCTATCAAGAAAATGCTGCTAAATTGAAGATGCCAGACGATGGAAGTTTTGCAACGTGACTCAGCATGGTAAAATTGAGTCCACATATTAAGAAAGTTTGCATTTCATTTTTCTTCCTTTAGAGTGCAAAAGGCACGAGGGGAGACCACAAAATTATCATTATCTCTCTGTTATACGCAATCGGCCCTTTCAGAGTGGGAAAAAAATTATCAAATCAAAGATTTCTCTAACGAAACTTACCATTATGGCTGATCAAATTAGGTCTGATTGGTAGCAGCTGCTGTAGTTCTTTCGTGGGCTCATTATTCGCCAGCGAGTAATTTGGTCAGTGGTAATATCTTAAAAAATTAGCTTCGTCATGTATGACATTGGTTCGAACAAAATGGCGGGTATTGCTAAGTCATCTCTCTGACTGTAAACAATAGTTCTCTCGAATGAAGATTTACCATGAATAATAGAACTGAGCCCGAAGGAAGCAGCGATGCTGATAAGTCGAGGAAACCACGGACACAGCAGCAAAAGAACTCGGAATTTTTTGCAACACTGGAACAGCTTGAGCAGAGGTAATCCTTTTTTCAAGAATTTTTTACCTATATTGAATTTTTACTTTTACAGAGAAACTCCGATGTAAAAATATTAACAATAATATTGAAATTTTTATGTATGATTAATGGTTTCGAATATTAAGAATGTTATGATTTCCTTTTGGTATTTCTCTGTGATTGGATGCTTTGGATGTGATTGGATTTACTTTTTGAAAGTTTTATTTTCTCCTAGTTTAAAGAATATATATGTATATATATTTTTTAGTTATTTATGATTAAAATTTTTGTAAATTGTCAGAATTTCTGCCCTGGAAAAGGATAGAAACACTCCACTTTACAGTCGACGCAGCGAGTTTCGTAAAGACTACTGTGAACTTGAAGAAGTGGATTTGAAGGGAACAAATGAAAGAAAATCAGAGAGTAAGTAGACAGTTTAACTTAGAAACCTTCTGAATTTGTTTAGCCTGAGGTAGAAATCACTTACTTGAACCCATAAGCTACTATCTAAAAAGCAATCTAACTCGATTTAATGATAATGTAAGACAATTAAAAAAAAGATGAGAACCCTTCAACTTTTATTCCTTCCTCTGTTTGAGAATAAACCATGATAATCATAAACAGTGAATTAATAAGAACCTTTAATAACAAATTCAATCAATCAGCAGTTATTGTTCAACTGAGTATAGCTGGCATAAGTTTCCTTATGTTGATGTAAAAAGTCCACTACTAGATGGATTCATTATCAGGAAATGAAATAGTAGATGATGTGATCTAGAAGAAACATAACGTCAGTGAATTTTGGAGCAGACTACAGTTACACAATTTTACTGAATTGATCTAAATTTCACAGCTATAAATTCCAGATACCTTTTTTTTCTCAATGTGACACAATAAATGACTAAAGAAAGGCTGGAGAAAAGTATGAGAGCATTTACGGTAGTATAGATCTATGAGAAATGTCTATGGTAATGAAACTTTTACATCCCTGCTTACATTGGTACCCAGTCAAACCTTTATTAAGCAGTAACCCACAAGGAATGGTGGAGTGACTGGTTAACTCCCAGATCAAATTTTTAATTCTCCTTACTGTTAACCATACAATTATTATAATATCAGTTCAGAGAATTTAGTATCAGATCAACTAATTATTCCCAAATTGATATTTTCTTGATTCTTGTCACTTATCTGGTTGATATTGTAGTGATATTGAAAGGAGAAATTCTGTCTTGGTCACTTAAGGGAGTTAAAAGGTTAACACAGGTTGACTGCTTAATACAGGTTCTACAGGTTATCATGAAATATGATAAAAATGCCATTTTATGTTAAAATTGACTACTTAATGAACAAAAACTTGCTAAAAAATGTTACTAACTTTCAATTGATTTTGGGAGATCAAAGTGGAATAAATTTTCCTTTAAAGATAATTCTTAGATTTATTTGAGTGGTTCTACTTAAAGTGACTGTTCAATACAAGCGGAAGACAATACTAACTGAGGGCGTTGGGACTTAATCAGGGGTGACCAGGTGCACTTAATATAAGTAACCCCTTATTAGAAGTGAAAATTACTGTAATTAAGAGGAACAAATCTTTGGACTCGTAATAGCAACTCCCTAATAATAAAGGGTGACTGCTTAATATGGTGTCTCTTAATACAGGTTCAACTGTATAATGTTACCTCTTGTTCAAAACATCCTTATTGATACTATTGATGCTGGACTTTTCCTGAATGCTTTCATTTTTTTAAATTAACAGAAAGTAAACTGAAGCAGCAGTTGGGTAAAATCAGGGCAAATGTAAACAAGTTCCAGAGAGACTTGCAAGATGTGAAACCATCACCAGAGTTTGTGGAAAAACTCAAAGAAATAATGGAGGAAATTGAAAATTCTATGATGACATTCAAAGAACAGCAGAGAAAAATGTAATACATACTTTTAAATATTTGTAATTTATAACTATTACAGTTGTACTAGCAATAGTTAGAATATCAAGTATTACGTAGAGGGTGGTAGTTTTTAAAAGTATGTACACTTAAGTTTGAAACTTCTGGAAAATGAAAGTTTAGACTTGACTCCGAGATTTTTATATGAGATTACTGGCAACAGCTAATGCCAAGGTTCTGTTTAGTTTTAGTTTCAACCAGATTACCTTTATGACTTTGGAAAAGGTCATAGAATTAATAAAATGTGGTAGATGTCTTCTTTCAAAAGCTTGTCATATACATGTAGTCCTGATTGATTTTGTGATTCTTGGCAGCTATGATGAGCTGATGCATGAAGAGCGAACATGCCTACAAGAAGTAGCAGCAATGGAGAAAAAGTTTGATTCTTGGTCACAGTTGCCTGCACCTGCAACAGCTGCTGTTGATGTAAAGAAAGCAGCTGGGGCTATTACAGTTTCACTGCCACCTGCAGTCGCAGCATTTGAGGTACTTTGGATTAGAAATGTTTATATGACCTGTAAGTATCATAATATGTATTGAGCTTTGATGAATCATGCAGTGGGTGTTGATATAGTCATGAGTTGTCTCTTTGTATTGTGTTTTTACCACCCAAGTGTAATTAACACTGGCCTATTGCAGAGATTCTTGGCACAGACTGGTGGACACAGTGGAGGTTGGGATGACTATGATCAACAACTCTTCTTAAAGCTTAAGAGCAAACACAAGGTATAAAATGAAAAATTTATGTTAGATTATCATTGATTTTATAAAGCAAGGAAGTACTTTCCTCTTAATGGAGATTTGTTGGTTTTTCTCAGGATGCAGTCACTTCTAGTGTGGATGCAAGAACTTTACTTCTTGTTGCTAGTCTTTTTCAGTCTATTTGGTATCAGCTTATAAAGAATTGTGTTCTTTTGTAATTGGCTGGTTTTTAATTGTTGTAAGGACACAATTTGGCAGTTGGTTGACTCTCCTGTTTTTGTTCTTCTTAACTGTGGGAATCCATGCTTCTGTAATTTTAGTGTTGTCACAGTGAAGCCTTATATGAGTTGTCTCTTTTACCCTGCTTGCATGTATTCATCACAATGAATAACCACAACCTTTTTCAAAATCAATTACTATGGGACTATCTATAGAACCATGAAGCTTTCATGCGAGCTGCAGGATCAGAGATTCCTGGAAGAAGCATTGATGATGTGCGACAGCATGATGAATGGTACAGCGAATACTTGATACTCAAAGAAAGTAAAAAGAAAGCCATCCAAGAATGGAAATACAACAAAGAGGTATGTATCATTCACACTTGTTCCATTTAGCAGCATACCCTGTTCCTCACTTTTAGCATGAGTGTCTTAAAGACTTACCTAATTCTTTGGTTAAGTCAGTAATGACACACCAGTTATTCATCAGACATGGTGCATAGCTGACTTCAGTTATTGCCTAGCGCAGTGTCTGCTGATGTATTGATTGTATGTTGACTGACAGTGAGGTCATCTGTCAAGGAATGTTTTGGAGTAGAGACAACTTTTACCTTTAACTTTTTTAAAATGCTCACAAGTGTTTTGCAAGATTTTCCCACAACATACCAATACATTGTCTCACTGAGAGGCAATGAGAGTGAACAGTATTATCAACTGGAGAGTGTTTTGTAGATATGCATTAAATTCTCCCAAGTATTTTATTTGGAATATATTGAATATAGAAGGGAGAATAACTAGATAATCAGTTATCAAGTCATGAGGGTTAATTGGTGTCATTTACTGCCAGACTTCTTCGGCTGTTTTTCTACTGGATGGATAGTCTTGGACTCTATAATCAAACATAGGTTACAAAACTATTAAGTATTCATTTAATTTGTTTTCTTGTAACAGATTTGTTTTGGTTTCCAATAGGCAAAGAAAGATGACTTGTTAAAAGATGATGAAGATGAATTGGAGGAGGAAGAGAAAATAAAGAGAAGAAAAGAAGAACAAATAGAAAAGGAGAGAGAAGAAAGAGTCAAGCAGTTAAATGAATGGAAGGTAACTATCTTGGTGGAGTCAGCAAATTAAGATTTGATTTTAAAATAATGAACATGTATATTAAATATCTTGGAACTAGTTAACCTCTTACACCCTAAGATCAGTATGCATATTCTCCTTACTGCTTTCTATACAATTTCTAAAGTGCTGAAAAGGAGAATTTGTTTCTTAATCAAGAGAATATTTAGTTTGTGATTATTTCCTTCATTCTCATGACCTTACTGTGTGATGCAAGAGCTATACTGTTGGGAGAAATTAGATGCTAGTCACTCTCAGGGGTTAAAAGGTGAAGGTAGAGTTTTCTGTCCAAGCAAATATAAATACATAAATATAATTTATCCTTAGCTCCGCTAAGGATAAGCATAGCAAGCTTCAGGCAGGAACCAGCTGTGTGACATGGAGTAATAAACCCCCTTTCTAACCTGCTATCCTCACCTAACTACCAAATGGAAAGGGGTGTTTCAATCCCAACATCAATGTTGTTGTGGAGTTGGATTAAATGTTCTTGTCTTATTATTATGTATCATTGATAACTCAGAGAACTCAAAAGAAACACTCTTGTACGGAGGAGATTCAGTATGACAACAAATGTGGCCAAAAACACTTCTTTACATATTTTAGAAAATGTTATCCTGGCTGAACCATTTACACCCTAGTATTGGTATCCACAATCAGGAGTTTCTTAAATTGGTGATCATATCCTGTATTCCCATAACCTTTACATTTGATTCAAGGGTGATACTGTAAGGAGAAGTTAGAAGCCAATCACTCTTACCAGTTAAGTAAAGGGTTAAAATGAAGTGCTGCTGTGGGATTATGTTTAGACTGCATTGTATAGTAACAGGCCTTAGGATGATGCTGCATTTCTAAATTGTTTTTGTTGGATGACATTTGGTTTTGGTGATATTCTTCTCAGGTACAGAAGGAATTAGAGAAGGCAAAGACAGAGGAAGCACGGCTCAGATTAGAAATGAACAAAGCCAGGGAGAAAGAGAGAGAGGAAAGGAAAAGGGTAAGATAGTTCCCAATCCCAAACACTGCCAAGCTCGGGGATGGAAGTTGTAACAACACGATGTGCCTAAATACCGTAAATCCTTGAGTTAGCACCAGAAATAAGCTCCCCCATCCGATGAGCCCCTTCAGAACAAGTCCCTCTTCAGAATAAGCGCCCCTTCAGAATAAGTGCCTCTTCAGAATAAGCGCCCCTTCAGAATAAGTGCCTCTTCAGAATAAGCGCCCCTTCATAATAAGCCCCCCTCTTATTGGTCAAAATTTTAAATATGTACCCCCTTCGATGATTCGCCCGTTAGTAAAAAGCGCTCCACCCCGTCTTAACATGAATCTGAAATAGGACATGGATGCAACTTCGAAGATTTGCAACAATTTAACTCAAAGAACAGTCCTCCCTCCACCTAGAGAAATAACGTTAACAGTAAACTGCAAGAAAAACTTAACGTATTACTTAGGAATTACATGTACCTTTGACAGATAGGAATTCCGGGCCTAGCTTTGCTCTCTTATGCCACAACAGCAACTGTAAAAGACGATAAATAATGGGACTCGTAATACTTTAGAAAGCTGCTTCACGGTATTTCGACTCGTTCTGTAGGGTCTCCAAAGATTGTCGTTACAGTGATGACTCCAAAAACGAAATGGTAGTTTGTGAGAGGGAAAGTCTCCAAAATGGAACTAATAGATAAAAAAGGAACGAGGTTGTTGAACGATGGTCGAGACCGCACCAACCGTATTGTATCTCCCTCAACTTGTTTTTCTTTGTTTTTTTCTTTGCTTTCTTAAGCTGGAGATTAAAGCACAAGTGGAAGAGTACGCAAGACAAAAAGCAGAAGAACACGCTATTTTACAAGCAGCACGACACGCGAGACATCACCAAGAAAAAGAGGCAAATAAAATAACCGCGGAAGAGGCAGCGAAAATACAAGAAAGGGTGAGTATGATTTGTGACCGTAATGTGATTCAGAAAGTGGGTGGATCTTACACACAACGGAAAAAGAGCGTGTTGCGTGACATTAAACAAAGGTTGCGAGCGGGTTTAGGTAGTTGCATATCATAATTTATGCAGAATCTTTTACTTGTATTGCTTCAGAGCCAAAAGATGTTAGATGAACGAAAAGCCAAGTTGAAAGTGAAGGAGGTTCAGAAACAAGAGAAAGAAAAAAGGCTCCAGAAACTAAAAAGTCAGGTAACGGATTGTTTAAGTAAGCAAGGGAAGCAACAACAGCAAAAAAGATTTTTCTTGTATTTTTCCCTCTCTTTTTATTGGAAGGAAGGTAAAGCCTTGTAAATTAGATCAGACTGAATCTCTCATGGAATCTTTGTCTCAGTCACTTGTCTAACACTTTGCCTCTGACCCAGGTTGAAGTGAATGTATCTCGCGACCCATCTCGACTGTACAAACTTACTGCTGGCTGGGAACAGAGAAAAAAAGAAGGGCCTGGGACGGCTGGACATGGGCCCAGTCTTCATATGCCACACAGGTATGCAACTCTTTTTTTCCCAGACGATCCGACCTCCCTTTGTAAGAATATTTTTCTCAATTGCATATCATAAGGAACCCGGGAATCCATTGAATTTGTTGTTCTGTGCGCCACTATTGACCGAGCACTTGCCATCCCTTCAACTAATGAGAGGAAAAATTGAAGCCAGTCGCGACTTGGTCTCTTGCGTGTCCCACGCTTTAGGCCGCCCACGTTTCTTTGCTTCAAGCTCTTTATTCCCCGTGATTTTCCCTTTGCTCTGACTTGCCGTTGTGATAACTTCGGTTGTAAGCTTGATGGTATACACAAGAGTGATGGTTGAAGAAACAGAAGAAAACAGAGATCGTGTAATCAGTGTTTGCAAAGTTCTTTTAAATGAAATGAGTACCGTTTGATTTCAGGGCAGTCCCATCATGGCGGCAGGGATTATCATGACAGCTAGCTACTCTACAGAACACTCATCGCCATTCTGAAGCCCATGGACTTACGTTGTTTTGCATTTTTGATCCTTGTTCAACATGTATTACAACTACCTTTCCGTCATCTTTAAAACGAAAATTTTCGATGGCTTTATCATCTGTGGAATGTGATTCCATTCTCATATCGGGTAAGCTTAAATTCGCTAAAACGTGGTCAAGAAAGAGCCTGAAGAACAACCGTCATCTGTTAGTGAGGCGCGCGGAAGCGCGAGGCAAGAGACCCTAGCAAGGTCATTTTGTTCGCGCTCCTCCCCTCACGCGTCTCTCCCCTCGCGCTTACCCACTCCCGCCATATGTTGATAGCTCCCACAGCTTATCAACATGTGAACGTTAATCTTGTTAATTGCGTTAAGAGGGGCACTGTTATTTCACTTGCACCTCGTAAAAAACTGCATTTGATATAAACATCTCCTGGAGGCCGTGAGTCTTCCAAAGCTTGGAGGTGGGAAACAACCGAGTTGATAGTGTACAGTTTTAAATGAAATTGTGAATAAAATAATTATTTATGTGTCAAGGGGTTTTAGAAATAATTCTATACTATAGAGAAATTCCCATTTCCCACTCGAAGCGCAGTGTTAAAGAGTTCTAATGAAAGTTATTTTGCAATAACAAATATCGTCGAAGACGTGGGAACACCCATCACAAATTTTCCAATTCTTCTCTTGTTTTCCTTGCATTGATATATTGGATGATCTCTTTACTACCACTCGTACCAAAGCCGTTTTAAAAATGGTATTTTCTTAGGGAAATTTACTATTTCTTTTTGAAAATATTTTCCACATTCGGCCGATTTTTGAAACATAAGTCTTAAATCCTTTGAAAACGCACCAAACTCTCCTTGTGTTCTTGAAACCGGGGTTATGTTTCTGACCGTGGCCGCGATTTAGTGAATAAGCTCGTTGTTTCCGTGCCTTGTTTGTAGACACTGAAAACATAACGATCACTAAAAAATTCTGAACTGCTAAAGAACAGAGCGTTTTATTCTGTAATCACTTACAGATGTTTACAACTCTCTTCAAAATATAGAAGTGAAAATCTCCCAACTTTGTAAGTAACGTTAAATTAGACTAAATAATTGTTAACCATTGCAAAAATCTCTCCTGACAGATTTCAATAATTTACAAAACATTCACAATTTTTTCTTATACTAAATATCATTGTACTGATTGTTACATATAGATTCTAAGGGTTCTTCTTGAAAATAAATCGACTTTAACACAAATTGACTCTTACAAATTTGAACAAAACTTACACTGTTTAGGTATTTCTTCATTCCTTCTTCAGACTGAAATTATACATTTACAATTACGTTTACCTAAATTACGACCAATTCGTCTTCGAAACAAAGCAATTTTGCGACAGAATTTTCAATTTGCTCAAATTCTTTCTACGGTTAAGGAATTTGCCGATAAACATCAATCAACAGTAACAAAGGATAGCATCAATTTCTTTGGCCATTCGCTAATCTCGTACCCAGACTTTCCACGATCAAGCAGTGGTAAAGACGGTAGGAGCTGGGTGTGAGATCAGTCATTCACGAGAGTTTCCCTTTTTTTTCTTTTTGAACTACGGTGATCTTTACATGGAATGTGGTAGATATGGGTAGGTTAATTTCCATCATTAAAACATTTCTGCGATTGATGATTTCTCTGGATTAAATTCGACGAATATTAATGACTTGTTCCGTACCAAATGACTAAATGGGTTACCTAGATGCGTGTGACATGAAAAATGCATTAGTGGTGAATTTCCATTAAATGTGGATCTTCATTATAATTTAAATCACGGTTGCTGTCTGAGATTCCGTAAGCTTAGAGACGGATGATTAAATATCACTTGCGATTTTAAGTTGAATAGTTTTCAAATCTCGTTACTATATTTACACCAGAATGCTGAAAATTACGACAACTTAGAAAACGCTATATTATCAATCTCGTTTTTCTTTAAATCTTTTCGATGTAGTTACTGGGAAATAGTCCCTCGCGGCCATTCAGTTTTCCCGTCCACCATCCTGAGGGATCTGGGAATAAAACACAGATGACAATGTTAGAATCTGAGGCCAAGTGGGACCAGCATCAAGTACTGACCATGATTGGTTATAACCCTCCAAAAAGCACACAACGTAAGACAGAAAAACTTGGTCAAGTATACGAATTCGAGGTGAATCTTAGGCTGCATGAGTATGGTATTTTTCATCATCTGATGTTTAATTACAAAGTCCCACCAAAAAAAACATTAAAAAAATTCGGGTCAAAACTTTCTTTAAAGCCGAAAAGAGCTAGTCAAATCAGGAAAAAAAATTTCACTGCAATCCTTTTTTTTTACTCCGGAAGTGTAGCAGGAAGCCTCGATCCTTGTTTTCCCCGCTCACGTTACAACACATCAAAATGAGGCCACTGACCACCAAATCAGACTACAAACTTGTTCCCAGGCTCCTATGCAGAAAGAACGAGGAACCTGAGCACGACTTTGCTTGTTTTCTTGTGGTTGTTACGACGTGGACATATCAACCTACTCTACTCTGCAAACCTTAGGGAACCCAATTATCATACCTAGCGACTTATTACATGAGGCGTTTTAACTGTTTCCTACGTTATTTTACCTTCTTTAATAATTTCAATGATTTCGTCCGGTTGAAAGCTCAACTCTTCAACGTCGGTGGCGTCGTAAGGCCATAATGTCTTACACCGGGGTAGGGACGGGGCTGGTTTTGGCTTAAGCCTAGGTTTTCCTGGAGCTGGAGGACGTTTCGACAGGGACTTTTTCTTGGAGTTTATCCTTTCGATACTAAAAAAAGGATCAGATTACCAAGCTGTCCTTTATAATAAGTCAATAATAAACCAGGTACAGAAATCTTGAAGAAAAAGATAAATGTTGGGGAAGTTCTCATGTAAACACTCAAGAAATATAACACAAGTAAAACACAATCAGGAGTTGTCCCTAGCACTAACGATTACGCCAACCGTGGTCATGTCAATGGTACAAAATGTACTATAGTCAAAGACATCCGCGAAGGGTTCAAGTCAGGTTAGCTCATTCAATTGTCTCTACATCACAAAGCGCTTTTCGATTGCGTGTCGTAAAATCAACACCGAAACTATAACAACGACCAACCAAAGCATGGAAAATCTCACAAGTCTGTGAGAACTAAGAGTAAAACCGAGCAACTTACTAAAACGCGGGAAAACGAGGGTGACGCGATTCATTTTATTTTCTACTGGTCGAAAAGTGGCGCGAGTTTCCTGAACCAATCAAATAACGAAGTAAAGTAAAACCAAAGCAATTCTGGATAACTTTCGACCCTTAATGGAAGAAGTCTCAAACATATTGACGTGGGGTGTCGGGAATATCTCAAAACCTGCGAAGAAAAGTAAAGGGGGGGGGGGGGGGAAGCGGGGAGGGAGAGGAAGCTGTGTGCTATGTTAGGGAAAGGGAGATACTTTAGAGTATTCGCGAATGATAACTCTACTTTTAGACGCTGGACAAAAAATATCCGAAAAGAAGATGGGTGGGTAATTTTCATAAAAATTGAAATGAATCCTGCCTGCGTATTTGTTCTATCCTTATTCGTAGACAAGGCAACATGAAAAGTTATTCATGAAAACTGTCCGTGTCGCATAACCCATCACGCAAGGTTTATGAACGAAAAACTCCTCTTAAGCAATGAAAAAAATTGCCATTATTTCCCCATCCATACGAGCGAGGAAAATCATCAAATATTAGGTTATCGATGAAGACGTTGTAATTGTGAAAGGTTTTATAAAGGACAGACGTACAGAAGTAATTCAATAGACATTTCATAATTTAAGTGAAGTAATGTTTGTTACGTGTTAAGTTATTGGTTTTAGTGTTACCTAGCGCCCATTTCTTTTCTTTTGCTGGCAGCGGAGAGACTGGAGACAGAAACATGCTACACTTATTTCACAAGCATTAACACCTTAGCAGCTATCTATAGTTAGCTATTAATCATTATTTAATGCATAATAAAAATTGAATATTTACGTTAAGGTTAGGCCCGTTGAAGTATATAAGAGCTTACAAGTTTACGCGACACTACACACATATACCGACAAACAGTGAGCAATTTAGCACAAAGCACAAAACATAAAACTCCACTACTTTCACAAGCAAAATTTTACACAAAGCATTAATGATACGTTGAAGAAAAAAAAACATTTATTCAACCAGGATTCAGCAGCCAAAACTACAAACATAACACTAAGCATTATCAAAAATCCTCGAAGTGGTATCGAATGTTTTAGTCTCTTTGGCCTTGGAATCGGTTTTAAATTTAAATACGAAATTTCCCGTTGTCAATTCAAATCGAGCGATTTTAGATGAATCAAAACTTCTTATAAAAGGCTAGTTAAAGAAAAGTTAAGCATATCCTTTATCTTTGTTCATATTGGAAATTAAAATTTCTTTGTCCGGGCCTCTTAGGGGGTGCAAGGTTTGGTTATAATTTTTTTCTTAGTCTACATGTTGTTGAAAAGTTGTGGATAGCAGTTTACTTGAGGTATTCATTTGTGCACTAAGTGGTTAAAAACGAGTAGAAGAAGACCCGTTTCATCCACCAACCACCCTCCGAGGGGAACGTGTTGCGTTTCAAAGATACACAATGCCTGGGAAGGAGAAGATTTCTTTCGCGTTACATGAGGTAGTCTGGGGTTATATTTAGATTTCAATCACATTATGAAAGTCAAAAGTTGTTAATAAAGATAGAAAAAAAAAGATAGAAAGTTAGTTCACGGGTACGCTTCTTTGTGAGGATAGGGATCAAGATTTTTATGATCCGACATGGGATGGATGATCGAGAATCAAAAGAAATTAGCGAATCCATTTTGGAGTGAGAGTCACAGACTAAGCAAACCGGGAATATTCTGGTCTTTTGTTTTGCTTTCCCACGCACCGTCACCGGTTGAAAAACATTTCAGCATTCTCTAAGCCAATCTGATTTAAACGATTACTATCGCTTCTTGGTCACTCCCGTTTTCCCACGCCTGTATCTGTACTTTTTGATCGTCGTAATAGCTTTGCATTTAGTTTTAAGACACTGAATCAAAAAACCTTTATGTACCATGCCCCAAGTGATCTTTCTTCAAAATCTTGATCCTGGTCCAATTTTATCCACGAAAGGCGCCCTCACACTGTTCATTCGATCACGGTTAGAGATTTTTAGGATTTAATGATCAGATTCTTCAGTAGATTAAAATTAAGGTTTAAGAACCGTTTAGAGGTGTGTTAGCTCACCTATCATCTTGATTAGTTGGACTGTTAGACCCGTTTTCGCCATCGTGCCACGTCCTCAGATTGACATACTCATTGAGCTGATCATCATCAGTGTCATCAAATTCGCTGTCGGACGTACCGTCATAACCATCATAGCCATTTTGCTGTGGAGTCTCACTTTGGCCTTGGGGGATACCTTCTTGACTGTGATGTGTGGCGGTGTACGAACCACTCTGATGGGTAGATGTCACACTGTACGATACGCCATTTTGTTGAGATGGTGCAGTGCTGTACGACATACAGTGCTGTCGAATTTCAG